ATGCTTACAGCCGTACATGTTTGAGCCCTTGCCTCGCAACGCTGCCAGTTAAATGCTATGACCGAAAACATGTGATTGACAGACAGATTGACAGCCGAATTTAGGTGTACAGGCTGACGTATAACTAACTGGCCTGCATAAGATAACGAGAAAAAAACATAGATTTTAAGAGTTTTTTTTTTTTTTGAAACAGAAATGTTCTACATTTTGAGTTCAGTGATATACATGTTTAAAGCTGCAGTCTGTAACAATGAGAAGAGAGCAGACTTCGACTGAAAATTTGAAGAAAAACAGGTTTCACGCCACTCCCCCACCCTCTCTGCTTCACTCATGCCCCACCTCCAAGCCCCACCCCTCTCACAGCACCTGCGCGGCTACCGCATACACCCAGAAGCATCCAAGCAACGTAAACGGCATGGAGTGTGAACCGGTAAGAGCGATAACACTCACCTCCAAGCAGCAGGATATAAGATGCTGGTTCTACCGAAGTTTGCCGTGTAAGCAGTTGTCGGCAGGGGCAGTAAGGGCAGTTTCTCTTTCGCTGGTGGCTGTCGCTCCGCCATGACTTCCACGCGCGTTCTCCTGACTGCGGCAGCCGGGCGGCAGCGGCAGGTTAAGCGGGAGGGGGGGGTGTTATTGACACTCCATCAAACGCTCCTCTGGCTGTGATTGGTTGTTTTGACTCGTCCCGAATTATTCTTTCCAGATTGAAATACAGGCAGTAGGCGGTACCAATTGAAGCAGTTTTTTTCACAGGTTACATATCACATGTACTGCTGTCTGGGCATAGGGACAGTTTTAGCCAATATGACAAAAAAGTGATTTTTTAAAACTTACAGACTTCAGCTTTAAGCCAGAAGGATTTGACATTTCCGTATGACTTAAAATCTCTAGTTCCAGTGGTGCGAAATAGGCACTTCTCAGTTCACGATGAGCCTTTAGGTAAAAAAAAAAATACAGTAGTTTAACAATGAACTCTAGTAAGATGCATCTCTAAGTTCTTATTTGGAGTTTTTTTCCCCCTCATTTTACGGAAACATGTTTTATGTTTTTTATGCATGTCTGTTTTTGATATTTCTGGTTCCTGCAGCTTGTCAATAAGTTGTGAAGGACCCAACAAGCAGGAGGTAGGCAGGCAGAACTGTGTTAATGCTGATTTAATAAAAAAAGAAGAAAAAAAAAGGAAAGCTTTCAAGCATGAGGATGCCATATTGGGAGAATGACTGGGGGCCAAAAGTGAGAGGAACCATGAGGTAAACGACTTGAGAATCGAGAAAACACTGCAGAAAACAGAGAGCAGTTATCACTGACTGAGTGTAATTAACTAAAGGTGCAGCTCAGTGCTAAAGAGGTGAAACAAATATTGAAGGTAAGAACCAGAATATTAACACCAGACAAAATGAAACTTGAAGTCTAACAGATCACAACCGGTATCGTTTTTACTTTTCGCCTTTTCTAAAACATATCCATGAACATAAGCTTGTTTCAAGAAATACCTTCACTCATACAGAAACAACTAAAAAAAATGACTTAAATAATGATAGTAACTATGAAGGTTTTTTTTTTGTGTGTGTGTACTATAATGGTTATCGAAACAGGTGTTTTCAAGGAGGGAGACATCCCAAATATGCAGGGCACTGGAGCTGCCAACACCAGATCCAAAAAATCTGAAAGTTATTGCAGAACCTGTCCATTTAGTTCACTTCACTTTATTCATATATATAGCACCAATTCACAAGACATATCATCTCAAGGCACTTTACAAAATCAGCATTAATTTATTTCCAGAAGCAATGTATTTATAATACGGTTACATTAAATTTAGATGAAGACACAGTTGCAGAAACATTGCAGAGTTCACAAACCTTAAAGTTTTCCACATTCTGTGCTGTGAATTTAATGTATGGATATCAGACTAAAAGGGGTTGAACAAATGCTACCACTGATATTGTATTTAGCAAGACACTGTTAAAGGGATCTACTGTAGAATACATAGTTATAGAATTTATTCATCAAATACTTATTTTCCATATATAATATATTTTCCAACATAACGCAGTCAACCAGAAAAACCCTCAGAGAGCGCAAACCTCTGCCAAGCAGCTGATTATGTCCTTAACTGTGACTTACACCTATAGCTAAAACTGGCACAAGATCTGGATCATTGCCAATGTAATGAATTCTTCCTTGGCATGAGGTGAACCTTTGGTTACCTTTTCCTTCAAATCCTGTTATAAGCTTTTACAGCAGCAGCCATTCACTATGGCCCTTCCCAGTAAAACGTCATTCGAATGGCTACCTACTCCCTTGCGACTCTCAGCGAAATCCCCTCCGACTTCTTGCTACTGGCCTTCTCCTGGGCGTTTTTTTTTTTTTTTTTTTACTCTGACCCTTTCACTGAATTACAGGGTCGGATCTGTAGATGACGTTTCTCTTTAGATCTTAACGTCCACAAATCATTACAGAAATAATATTTTAGTACAAAGATTAATGTTCAAATGGTAGGGGACCAGCCAAGTACCAGCCAAGGGCTAATCAAGAAAAGTGGGGAAATTTTGAATGGCTGCTACTGTAAATAAGGCACAGTGTGTTTCTGCAGTCTCTGGTGATTGTTCTGCGCTCAATTTCTTCATTTACTCTGTTTTCTTCTTTGATCATCACATCTAGACTTGAGTGAGGCCTGGCTCACTTTTCCTGTGTTTTTGTCTTCAGTATAATTCTATACTTAAGTCCAATGTGGAAGCTGTCAATAGCCACTGCTGCCTCTCTCTGGTTTAGGGGGAACTGCTTGTTCCGCCAAATAATTCCTGCATCTAAATCATGATGTGGGTCTTCAACAAGAGTTAATGGATTGTTCCTTGGACAGAGGTTTTACATTTGGTAAAATTTTTTGATTAAAATCCGTTCATAACCTTTAAATTACCCTGTATGCAGACAGAAAGAAAGAAAAACAAACACGCCCACAAACTCAACTAAGAACACAACCAACTTGATAGAGGTAAAGAAACTGTAAGCTTTTTAGTTTTAACAGTCTAAATTTAAACACAATTTTGTCAAACAGACGTCACCCTGTTGTTTGTGCCTTCTTGGTATCCGAAGCATGCTGGTTGTAAAGCTCTACCTCCGTCCAGACAAAACAGCAATTAGTTACTCAAACCACTTCAGTTTAAACCAGAGCTCGTTGAAATGCATGAGCATGTAGAAATAACAAGAGGTGATGAAGCTGAGGAGCACTGTTGCACCTTTGTCGCTATACTTAGCAACTTTTCAGACCCTTCTAGCAACATTTTATTTTTCAATACGACTACTAGTCACAAAACATTTGCACTAAAACAGATTCTCTCTGACATTAATTAATATGCAATCTGTTTCACTGTGTGCTGCAATTAACTTTCTTTAAGTTGAATTTCCTAATATAATAGAATTGATTTATATAGTTAGGTTAAAATATTTGATACTACAAATTACTTTATAAAGTTCATCTTTAGTGTAAAATGTAGTTAGTATTTTTTAAATTAATTCCTGGCTTGCGATATTCATACTTCTCTCTCCTACAGCTGGAAATAAAAAATATGCAAATTACCAAATCATTTGGCGACTTCATGGCCAGCCAATAGCGAGAAAACAGAGGAAGAGTGAAAAGTTACCTGAAGAATCTGGTGTTTGGTGCTAGGAGACGCTAACCCAGATTTTTCTCTTTTTTTCGCCAATATTTTATTGTCATTAGACTGTCACAAATATAGAGCAACGAAATGAACTCTCGGCATTAAACGCATCTCCTTGGGGAGCAATGGTCCATCATTGTGCGACACCCAGGGGAGCCAGTTATTCCAAGCGCAATGCCCTAACAACTCTAACACAAAGCAGGTGTTAGCATGAAGGATATTCCCAACTGGGATACGAACCAAGGGCTTTCTGTTTGAAGGACAGGTGACATACCACTTTAGCTAGCCAGATGGCACGCTATTCTGCAAAGAGTTCCACTTTCTAATTGAGGCTGTTTATGGTTTTGTCACAGATATATTAGGCTAATGTGTTATGGTGAGTTTTCACAGAAAATGGTCTCCATGGCAAGAGTGTAGATTTTACTTAATTTCCCTATAAAGATGGTTTGGGCAAGTGTGGTGAAGCAGCCAGCAGTGAATTCCAGGTGTTGAGAGGAAAGTTTGACCAAATGTTTATGAAGTAAGTCAACAGAGGGTCTAAAGAAAACATAACGGCCCTGTAGCTGCAGCTCTCAGATGCATCATATTCATAAACACTTGGTGGTTGTATGGTTGATCAAATGAGGATATGTTCAAGCTGTTTGAATACTTTAGCAAGGATTGGCTAATTCTAATTCATGCCTAATCAGGTTACAATGAAAGTCAGCTTGAGATTTAGTATTATTCATCAAAAAAGCATCCATATATTCAAGGATGCTTACATGATTGCAGCAACACAACAATCTCTCACCCTGTGCAAGGATGTGACGGATATGGAAAGGAAAAGAAAAACGTTCAGCAGGAACAGAACTAGTATGAGGCCATCTGTCACAATGCAAAGAATCTTATCGAACCAAAACAACACAAACAAGCATACAGTAAACTAACAGCCTTAAACTGTAAGTAAATAAAAAAAAAAAACCCAAAACATGACCGACTTCTAACCGTGACACATCTACATCAATCAGTGGTGTATGTATTCCGGCTGCTGGTAAGAGGCTCAAGGTCGAAATTTAATTGGTTATTTAAGTGTCTGTTCAACAAATTATGAAGAAATAAGAGATGAATAAAAGACTCCACACATAGAGTAATTCATTCATGCAAATAAGGAAAATATTTGTGTAAAAAAATTCTCAGATTTGGGTCTTTGCATTTAGTACAGCTAGCAGCATGATATCAGTCTTCAACTCTTAATGAGTGAGAAACACCAAAAACAGTAAATTAGGATACCATGAAAAAAAATGAAGAGTGTACTGTCAGGATATTTCTACTCATATATATTTCTAACTTTTTGGTTCCGAAAAAAGCCATTAACTCATATTCAAAGACTGTCTTATCCATCAAGGAAAACCAAGAGATGTTTAAATTGCTTAAAGATAACAGAATAGTCCTTCTGAGTTTTTATCTGTTTCCTCTGCAGTCCCTGGATTTTAAAATCTTGTATTCCCCCTGAATTCAGTCATCCTCATCATCAAACCCAAAATTGGTCCGTCCCTTTGACCTGCTGCTGTGACCAGTCTGATGGACTCCTGCTCCAGACTGGTACCCGTACTGGTCACTCTCATCCTCAAACTGGCTTTGATGTGGTTCCTCCTCTCCTTGGTTCTGGTGTCGGTGTTGACTCTCCTCCGGGGCAGACCAGCCTTGGTAAGGCCTGTTGTCCTGTTCCTGGGGGTAAACATCGTCGTCAGGAGAGAAGGTGTCATCCAAGTTGTCGTTGTAGCGCTGGTAGCAGCTGGCGTGGGCCTGCTGCTCGCGGGCCTCTAGCTCCAAAGTGCTGTGCCAAATTCCATAACAGCCATAGATCAACAGACCTTAGGAAAGAGTAAATATTTCAGCTTAGCACAAAACACAAATGAAGATGTCTGATTTTTTTTAAAACAGCTAATTAAATTACTTAATCAACTCTTTGGTGTTCCTGCGTGTTGTGGTAGAAGTCATTTTTTTGGGAGTCTAAAATCCTCACCGGGACATTTGGTTCTACATGAGCCAAAGAATTACCTATTAATTTGAGTTATGTGTCCTAAAACAGGTAAACACCTAAAACATGCAGGACACCTAGCCTGGTCAGCCAGACTAATATGACGTGTGTATGGAAACAAATTGTACAGCTCGATTTCAAAGGTGGGAGTAACAGAGTCAGACTCATCATGTTAGAACCAATCAGTTAACTATGGATGTGACGCAAAAACTCGAGCAAAGGGCTCAATCTTTGTAATTGTATTCCATAAAACATTTTAAGTCATCAAAGAAACTCTACAGTCAATGACTTCTGCTGGTTTTGCCAATAAAATCTGAAGATATGAGGTTTACTCTCAACTATACAGGTGTCAAACTGGTTCCAGAAAGGGCCGTGTGGCTGCAGGTTTTCTTTCCAACCAAGCAATAGCACACCAGACTCCATTCATATCAAAAAGTCATCATGTTCAGATTGGACTCCCTTGATGAGATGACTGGAGTCTGGTGTGCTATTGCTTGGTTGGAAAGAAAACCTGCAGCCACACGGCCCTTTCTGGAACCAGTTTGACACCCCTGCTCTACTACATTCTTAATTTTCATTGCAATATGTCTGCTCCAGTCATCAGCTTGTTGCTATGCTAGCACAAAAACATTGCTGTATAATGGCTAACTCTTGCACTGAGCGTGACGCATCATAAAGTCCCGCCTTCTTGCAGAGGCTACATGACATCATCAACTTAACCCTTAAGGTGAGATTTAGCTATTTTTCACCTGTGAATGATCACTCCTAAAAAGCGGCATCTTTTATTAATTGTAAATGTATTTTAAGTATAGAATCAACAATGAGTAGTTTTTGACTCACCTATCAGACACCAGATAGTGAACCTTGCCCAGGTGAGAGGAGACAGTTTAAGCATGAGGTAACTGTTAACCAATATGGCCGCTGCAGGGACAAAGGGAACACATGGAGCCATGTAGGGCAGCCTCAGTTTGCTCTCTGGCTGTTGAATGATAAGAATCAAAAGTTTGGCCATTGATCCCAAAATCAGTGTTGCCATCAGGCCCGAAAACACTGCTCCAGCTCCTGAGCCTTGCTCTACACCAAATATGATAGTGGACCAAAAGAGGAAAGATATAAAGAAGAGGGAAAGGGTGCATCTAGTAACTATCCGACCAGAAGCAGGGGTTGGACGTGCTGATGAATCAGGTATTCCCAGTCGGAGTCGAATGGTGTAATAATGACCTACTAGAAGTCTTTTCATTAGCGAGGGAGGTCCGGTGTGGAAATTAGAGTCATCTACCTCCCCTTCAGTTCCACCAGCATGGTAGGATGAGGGCCCATCATGATCTAAGCCTTCCATCATGATTTGGTCATCTTTGGTAGGGGCATCTCCAACATCCCGATGCTTGATGTTCTCCACGTCTTCCTCTGAAATAAACTGGTGTGTGTCAGTCTCTTTATCAGGCTGGTAGCGAAGTAATAGCACGCACACACTAACTAGGGTGTAAGCCAGCAGAGTTCCAATGGACATCATCTCAATCAGGTCCCGGAGGCTCACCAGGAGAGCCAGAATGGCTGCAAAGCTTCCTGACAGAGCACATGCCATAGCAGGAGTGTGTGTGAGTGCTGAGACATGTGTCAGGAACCTTCAGATATAGACACAAAAATAAATTAGCTTTCTTTGTCATTATTATTATGAGTGTGATTTATTTGTTTCCTTACCTGAACAAGAGTCCATCCCGGGCCATGGCATAGATGACCCTGGGCATTGGGAACAAGGAGCCCAGCAGTGAGACGGTGAGTCCAGCTATAGAGCCAACAGCTACAATGTACTTTCCCCACATGAAACCATGCACAGCAAACATTTCCATGAGTGGAGCAGAGCCATCGATCAGGTTGTAGGGGACCATGAGAGTAAGGATCACACTCACCTGGAGTAAAAACAAAGAATGTGAGAGTGGTGATATTCTTTTAATGTTTCACGTAAAAGCTTATAAATGAAGACCAGGGAAAGGTCAAGAACAAATTGTTACAAGACTGATGCAACACTAAAACATCAGAATATCAAGGTTAAGATATACTATAAAGATCTGAGAGTCTGAAGACCAAGGCAAAGCAAAGTCATCGCATGCTTCATTACTATCAACTATTCACCGTCAGATTAATAATGTCCCAACACCAGGACAAGTCCAAAACTACAGACTAAGACCAGATCAAGACTAGACTGTAAGTTGAGTGAGACTTTGGGGGGTCTAGGTTTAAGGGCTGAACATACTGGATAAAATTTCTTATCTGATCCAGGAAAACCTAGTAGTGTGATGTAGAAGTTAGAATGTTGAAATAAACGCAGCTGCACAGACCACTCTCCAACTAACCAACAAAGATAGACAGGTCTGATTTTACAATTTAGCAGGAATGACACCATTCAGATGGGATATGAGAAAAGGTTGAACCCATATATGAATATAAAACTAAAGTGGTCAAACTGCAACATAGACCAAGCAGTAACCCAGCGCTAATGTGCAAATATGTATCCCATATACTCTCAATTTGTGTGAATACAGCCTGTTGGACAGACTTGATCATACAATAACAATAACACAATAGGGTATGGCAAAGGCATACACTAAGGTATATCTTATACGCTTAGGTAGGCAATGTAACAACAACTTGGTTTTGAGTTTGAGCAGCAATTGCAGTTATGTGTTTAAAGGCTCAGGCTAAGTCAAGATCAAAATCAAACTTTAAGGAGTTTTAACCAGCTTTAGACCAAAGTGTTCCGAGGTGAAGGCAAGTTCACACATCTTAGGGGCTGGAATTCAATCCAGGCTTAGTGTACCAATTAGACCAATTCAGGCTTAAGACTAAAGTGAATTAAGACCAAAAAGGCTAAGAGTTTGAGGAGCCAAACCAGGTTGTCTGCGTGTGTGTGACAGTGAACGCAGATATGCTCCTCCCCTTCCTCAGACACTCTGCTGCGCCTCTCCAAAATTGTAGGGTAACGCAGACAGTGCCACAGACAGGAGGCCTCTGATTGGTCAAATCTACATCCGTTCTACACTATGCGTATTCCCTGTTTGGTACCTTACCGACTTGTTTTGTTTTTATGACCGCCATTGTGGAAAACGACTCGTGAAGATGGACCAGTGACCAGTGTAGATTATTCTTTACAGCAAACCAGAGCAGTGCTCACAAAACTGCTGACCCACTATCAGTTATTTGTATAAGATTTCTTCATGAAGGTTCCTTGTTAGTTGAATCACAAACCTCAAAAAGTAATAAATCAAAAGCACAGCTAAAAATGAGAAATGACCCGAAATGTAGAACTAAGTGTGAATCATCTGTGTACCGACCGACACATAGGCGGTGAGGCATGTGACCAGTGAGACGGTGATGGCGTAGGGGATGGATGTGTTGGCATTCTTTGCCTCCTCTCCAGTCGTTGCGATGATGTCAAAACCAATAAAGGCATAGAAACATGTAGCTGCGCCTTGCATCACCTAAACAATAAAACATCAAAGAGAGTTTATTCTTACATGTTGTGTTTTTTATTTTATTTCCTAAAACCCTGTGGGTTTTCTCTCTCTTTTGAACACAATGCTCCATGTTAAAGATTCAGTAGGGTTCCTACTACTGAACACCACACTAACTTCTAGGGTCTCAGTAATAAGACTCATTAACTAAAAAAATACTAAAGATAAAATAAATTCAATTTGACGTAGCAGATACAGAGATTGCAAAGAGTTTGGAACTGAGCGCTTTGGAGAGGTGAAGAGAAAACAAAACTATGAAGGGCTTAAAAGGTCAGGGGGAGAATTTTGAAATTTATGTAATATGTGAAGTCAGTTTGTTTGTAGTTGGCACTGACTTATCCATTAGATGTCACTCAGGGGACAAAGTTCTAGACGCGATTAGACTCATAAATAGGTGAAGGAAATAAATGAAGCAAGAGGTAACAGCTGTGTGAAAAATATAGATGTTTGCTGCAATAAGCTGAGGGACATTCAGACTAAAAGCTAATAGACAGATACTGTGTTATTTTTTTGGTTATTTCGAGTAATTAATAACTTGAAGCATCAAAACGAAAATGGAAAAAAGGAGCTAAGTATAGAAATTTCAGTATTAGATTCAACCGAGTTTCATTAAGTTTTCCAGTGTTTAGGGGGTAGGAGTTAATAAGTTTTCACTTCTTCCTACCCCATTTTGAGCACGATATGTTAATTGAAACAAATATCTGTATTTTTCTCTTCTTTTTTATGCACTTCTTGTTACTGTGCACTATTTTATTTTTATGTTTGTATCATGTTAGAATAAATAATACATTTTTTTAATCACAATGGGTTTTAATATAGGTTCTATCAACGTGGTGGAAGAACAAAGAAAGATTGTTTTAATATTTTTTTTGTTAAATAATATATATATATATATTAAAAGCTGTGCTAACACCAGAGACAATAATGACTGGACATTTTTTAAGTGCGTTCAGAAAAAGGTGTAAAGTTTAAGAGATAAACACATAGACTCATCCAGAGTTTGGAGGAAAATGGCAGGAAGTGCTGTAAGTATCTAAGTTTCAGATCCAGTTGGAGTTTTTAATGTGAATAACAGTAACAAGCTGTGCCAAGACTGCTTCATACGCAGTACTAGAGTTCAGGGGGGGTGAGGAGGGTGGTTGATGGGGCAGCCCCCTTCTTAAAAAAAATGTTAAAAATTATCTCCCTTCTAAAATTACCATCCCTATACCATCTTCCAACATTTCTATTATACATTATCAGTAATGTCAAAATATTGCTCTTTCAACATTTGGTGGACTGTGGGCTTATGAGTATGAAGTTGCTCCCAGTGGGAGATTAGTCCCTAACTATGTAGGGGCAGTGATAACCATGCCAGTCCAGGGACTGACTGCAGTTCTACTGTAAGGTGCCCCGGTCCAGCTCAATGACCGGCGTACCTGACATGTAACAAGCATACCATACATGTTGCTTTAGGTTAATAGACTATATTAATTAGACTATGTATGCTTAAAAAAAACAAAAAAACAACCACTCCTATTTTATTTTTTTTTACAACTAGACTACGGTTCATACAATTTGCAAACATTGTGCATGGAAAGCAAATTTAGTCTATTTTCACTCAAGTCGAATTAGGGTTAAAGTTCATCTGTAGATGTTTAAAGTAAATGAGTTTAAGCATTTGAGGTAAAACCCTTTGAGACAACAGAGTTTACCTACCTCTTCAAAATGTTAAATTTATATTAAAAATAACATTCATATAATGTTTTGTTGTTGCCTCCACTAGAAATTACAACCGTTTTGTATTTTTCCCCCAAAGCATCTTAAACTATGAACTTAAGTCTCACCCCTGACCAGCCATACGGCATGAACCTGCCTCCCTCCCAGTTGCTAGCTGACAGGAAGAAGAGCCCGGCGATGATCATGAAGACCCAGACCACCAGGTTGATAACATTTAGGACATTGTTGAATCCCACAGAGTTCCTCACTCCCAGAGCAACAATCACTGTGACCAGCAGGGCAATGAACAGGGCCAGCAGGTCAGGATACGTGTCTTCACCCTTACCTGAAACACACAGTAGGAGTGTTGGTACGTCTGTAAAAACAACTGAAAGAGACACTATATGGCACCTTACTCTAGACCAGTGTTTTTCCAATCCTGGTCCTCAAGGCACACTGCCCTGCATGTTTTAGATGTTTCCCAGCTTTTGCACACCTGTTATCAATTGTTAGCAGATTATCAGGCTTTGCTGAACTGCAATCATCTAAATCAGGTTTGCTGAACCTCAGTAACATCTAAAACATGCAGAGCAGGGTGCCTTGAGGACCAGGTATGAAAAACACTGCTCTAGACAATGTATTCATTAGCTCTTGTCACACTGACCAAGTCCTCTGATTATGCCCAGATGTGTAATCATGTAGTTACTGATGCTGTGATTAGCCAGAGAGTCGAACATGCTGCTGAGGGCCGACGCCCCTGCCGCCGTACCAATCAGGTACTCCAAGATCAAGTTCCAGCCGATGAAAAATGCCACAAACTCCCCAACTGTCACATAGCTGTAAGTGTATGCTGAACCCGTCGTTTTGGGGACCCGGACCCCAAACTCTGCGTAGCAAACCCCTTTCAGGGAAACAGAAACATGGCAAGATAAATGTTAGGGAGAATTTACGGCATACTTGAAAGTTGGAAAGTGAGTGTGAGAGAAAACACCAACCTAACAATCCTGCTATTAAATTTATTTAATCAGTAATTTTGGTGGAAATAGTTTATAAAATAAATAGCTAAACAGGTACTTGGGAAAAAACCCGTAGTTCCACCTTTAAGGTAAAAAAAAAAAAATTATAAATGGAATTCAGTCATGATTGAAACTTAATTATAATAAAGACTTTTTGGAGAACCGAATTCTACCCTCATCTATAATGAATTTCTGCTGTGAATCTAAGTTTTACTAAAAGTCAACCCATCCTAGAAGTTAAAGCTTGTTTGTCAAAAAAATAGAAAACATTTAATATGAAGATTCACATATTTTATTAAGATTTTGACAGTTAACATTTGCTTTTGAGGAAGATACATTGAACTGAACCCATTCTTAAATTTTAGTTTAATTGGTTGAAACAGATGGAATCATAGAGGAAGTACAACAAATATATATATAATGATAGAATATATATACCTGGTTTATCTAGTTATGTAAAATATGTTTGAAATACGTATCAGGTAATTTGTTCTTATTACAAAGTTACAACGTTCAGCAGACTGATATGTCTCCAAGTAGCTTTTAGATTAAAATAGAGGGGATAGATAAAAAGTAGAATAAAAAAGTAAGAAGGCCTGTGTTAGTCTTTCCAAATGTGTTTTAACAATCATGTCACCAGGGCAGAAGCATTAAATATCATTTTCGAACTTCGTACTGCTTTCCACATTGAGGCTAGTGTTAGTGATACTGTTGGGTGGCTCAGGTAATTCTAAATGATGCTCTATATCAGAGCAACCAATTAAAAATCAGCAGAGTCCAAATAAAAAAATAATCAACCTGTAAACGTCCAGAGACATTTTTAATTACAATCTATTACTTTAAACAGAATTTAACACTGACACTGACTGTTTTGAATATCCTATATAGCATCATATCTAAAAAAAATAGGTGATTACAAAATTTTGTTTTATTACTGATTTATCTTTTTATTTTGACTAGTCCTTAGATTGGTTTCCTGACTGATTTTTCAACATCAGTTTTTTAAGGCCATGCACCTGACAGTATTGAGGCCACTGCTGCAATGATAAAGGAGAGGATGACTCCCGGTCCAGCCATGGCCTTGGCAACCAGCCCGGCCACCACATACATCCCGGTTCCCACACAGCTCCCCACACCAAGCGACACCAGGTCCACAGTAGTCAGGACCTTTGCCAGTCCCACGGCGGACCCCTCTGCTAACTCCGTGAGGTCATCGGAGCCATGGGCCATGGATCCAACAGGTTTGGTCCTCAGCAGGCGGGAGTACATGCCGTACCAGGCCTCTCCAAAAGACAGCCGACCCAGCCAGGCTGCCATTGCTCCTCCTGGTTATCACCTATTGATGTCAATGAGCTTCACAATCTGCCTATCATTGTTTCAGGCTCATCTGAGGCTTCCTCAAACCCATTTCCATATTTTCTGGAAACTAGACGAAGGGAAGAGAAGCTGTAAAGATACAGAATAATGTAATATGGTTAGTTCAGAGAAATTCATTAAATCCTCAGATACATTTCAGATTGGGTTTGTAGGAACTAATCATCTCTGCTGGCATTACTTAAAACTGATGACACATTTTTGAGCTGGTTCCAGTTTGACGCAGGTCCAAACCCCAGAAGACTCCACCCTGCTTTCAAGTACAACTCTCAGAGCCCCTTGATTGTTTTCCATCTGTTATCTGTCTGCTTTTGTTTAACAGTCTTCTGAAGATGCTCACTTTTGTCCATAATCTTCTTCAGTTTATAAAATAATTCTTTTTTTTTAAGTCATTAGCTCTAATGCTGTTACCCCAGCAGAAAGTGGAGGAAGAGATCACACTCTCCACAACATACTCATTGAAGACAGGTTGCATATTGCTGCAAACACTGAAGAACTTAAGTTTCCTAATGCAAGTGTCACACCTTGACGATTTAGACAGTGTATGCCTGACATACAAAAAATCTGGCAAAAATGCTGGCATACATTGGATAAGTTATGAGCATGCTGAAGCACGTTGAAATATGCTGGCACACGTCGACATACAGTACAGCAAGTACGTCGCATGTCCAGACCCACGACATACGTCCCGACATACGCCATATGTCCCACCATATGCCAGTGTATGCTCATACATGGGCCATAAGTTACAGTTCAGTTATCTGATCTTTGACATAGGTTAAGGGTAAGTTACTCATAAGTCATGGTGTCCCGCTTATCCAAAACCTATGAGTAACTTGCGCATAACTGACGCGTAACTTATCAAGAACTTCTCTCCAATGCATATCAACGTATCTGATGTGTTCCAGACCAACGTTGATCGCGTTTCTAACTTACAGCTACTGTTTAATGGAATATTGGCAGCATTTTGGTATAAAAGGGTGTTAAGAGGAGGAAACCATCAGTTCTCATCCAGACTTCATCTCCATCATAGGGTGAGCTAGAAGGTGAGGGTGATGGATCCTCCCAGCGTTAACAACCACAACCATCAAACTTCCTAGCAGACATGACGCTAAATCTGCTGCGACTGCAAACCTTCTTTCTTTCTTTCTTTCTTTCTTTCTTTCTTTCTTTCTTTCTTTCTTTCTTTCTTTCTTTCTTTCTTTCTTTCTTTCTTTCTTTCTTTCTTTCTTTCTTTCTTTCTTTCTTTCTTTCTTTTTCTTTTGGTGGGCGGTAAAACAGCAGCTAGGTTAATATCGCAATCAAATAAATCTTTTTATGCAGGTCCATCACTGCCCCCCTCTGGACACTGGCCTGTTCATCATTTCATGCTCATTAAGCTGCCATGCGTTAAACATAAGTTAGGCTGTCGTTGGGCATTAGTTCTGGACTTGTTATGAGTACTCTATGTCGGAGGTCCTCAACAGGGGGTCCGTGATCCCTTGGGATCCACGGAGGTACTGCATGAGGGTCACAAAAGTTTTGGTTTAGACTTTTTTTTTATATTCCCCCTTGATATTTTTCCACTAACTGAAATGTCTTTAAATACAGATTAACATGAATTCAACACACTGTAGTAAGCAGATAAATGGAGGCAGAAGATGTCTTTCAGTCATCAATGCACACATTCAGCGACACACACTGTGTCTTTCAAGCTGGGCACCGTTTCATTCACAAGACCTGTCCCATAAACCAGGAATCAGAATCAGAAATACTTTCATAATCCCAGGGAGAAATTACTTTTGTTACATTACTCCATCTTTAAAGGTACACTATGCAACCGGTGTTGATTTTCCAGCGAGGCTCCCCCCAGAGGGTGAAAGTAAAAGTGCACTGTCGTAAATATGCACAGCTGTTCTCCTGGTTTCTCCGTCAAGCCAGGCGCGGTTGTTTTGAGCTTAGCAGACAGGCGAACGCAACGAATGACTAAGCATCTGTCGCGCGTGACGCGCCGCAAACGTATGAAGGACCAACTCTGCCATATTTAAAAATAAATACAATAAACAAATAAATGTAAGTAGAAATTAAATTATAAAGTGAGACATAAATGTATATAACTCTTAATTAGCTTCTTTATTTATTTGCCTTTGTAATATTTACCTTATTTATTTTTCTGTCCTTTATAATCTTCAACTTTATTTTTTAATTACTTATATTTTTAAGTATTTATTTATGTGCATGTTATAATATTTTTGTCTGTTTTATTCTTCCTTTGTATTTTTTTACCTTAGTTATTTCTTCGCCGCTGTTTATTTCTCTCTGCCCTTTTGACATTTCTGTCTGTCATATTAACATTTCTCTATGCATTTCTGTCTCATTATGCAAATGAGGAGGGGGTGTGTCCTAGAGAGTCAACTTCTGCTCATTGGTTGGCTTGGCGGTCCATCTTCTTAACTCACAGAGCTCAGAGTACTAAGTTAAATGTTCTCTTTTCTGTTGCTGTTGTTCAATTAAAGTATGTTTTAAGATCATTTGAGGCGAGAACCTTATACTTTTAAGCATCACCATATGGCCCATTCATAGATTTAATGTGTAATTTAAAAGAAAATGTGACGAACTTGAGAGGACCGTGGCAACCAGCGGAGCTCCGAAGCTGACGGCAGCCAGGTCCAACCACAGCCCATCTGCAGCGGCCCTCTCTCGGCATAGCCGTGTGTGAAGCGTGTTGGTTAGCATTTTACTACATCGGTCGAATCTACAGGAGGAGAGTCTGATGTCGAGTCTGAAGTCATTAGAACTTGAGTAGGGACTTTGCCAAACTTTGCCAAATACAACAAAAAATCGCCATCATAGCCTGGCTATAGACCTGGCTGCCGTCAGCTTCGGGCTTTGCTGGTTGCCACGGTCCTCTCAAGTTCGTCACATTTTCTTTTAAATTACGCATTAAATCTGTGAATGGGCCATATGGTGATGCTTAAAAGTATAAGGTTCTCGCCTCAAATGATCTTAAAACATACTTTAATTGAACAACAGCAACAGAAAAGAGAACATTTAACTTAGTACTCTGAGCTCTGTGAGTTAAGAAGATGGACCGCCAAGCCAACCAATGAGCAGAAGTTGACTCTCTAGGACACACCCCCTCCTCATTTGCATAATGAGACAGAAATGCATAGAGAAATGTAAAAAGGGCAGAGAGAAATAAACAGCGGCGAAGAAATAACTAAGGTAAAAAAATACAAAGGAAGAATAAAACAGACAAAAATATAACATGCACATAAATAAATACTTAAAAATATAAGTAATAAAAAATAAAGTTGAAGATTATAAAGGACAGAAAAATAAATAAGGTAAATATTACAAAGGCAAATAAATAAAGAAGCTAATTAAGAGTTATATACATTTATGTCTCACTTTATAATTTTACTTCTACTTACATTTATTTGTTTATTGTATTTTTGTTGGCAATTAATTGTATGCTTATTTATTTATTGAGCATGTATTTATTTCTGTATTTATTTTTAAATATGGCAGAGTTGGTCCTTCATACAAACGCGTTGCTGCTCGAGATGGAAAAATTTAATTTTTGCTGCTCGACGTGCCGCGTCAACCAATCAGAGAAGCTGATCTGGGAGCTGGCAGGGAGAGAGACACAGCGCTGATGATCGGAGGCTATGGTCACTCCTCTTAAACAGTTTATTGACGCCTAAATTAACTTAAAATGCAGAAATCTGCCGGCAGAATATGTTCGCTTTTATCATCCTGCTGCCTGCAGTTTGGATTATGTAGATGAAAAACACCTGCCAGCTGCCGCGGTGAACCGCGAGGAGGCGACCCGGCCAGAGGCTGCTGATGAAGGGATTCCTACTGTCGGCGCACCGCTGGTATGTGGGGGTCTGAGCGCCTCCGACAGAAAAAATATTGAAGGCAGGATGATAATCTGAATGAACTGACTGCACTGATTACGTTTTCAGGTGTATTTTCTCACTTAAAAACATATTAAAACTACTTTATTCCCACTGATCACAGCAAATATAGCTGCAAGGCAGAGAAAGGATAGTGAAGCTCCGCCAAACGCGTGTCAGACACACTTTTGCACCGCGCAGCCAGAGCAGCAAAACTGCTTCAGCCGCGCGTCAGAACTAAACTGGTAAAAGCAGTAAAAATGAAGCAGCAGACGCGATTTTGCTGCGTCCGGTGTGAAAGCAGCAAGTACATCCCGCTAGCAACGAGCATGCTTTTAACTGGGGGGTGTAGCAGTTCTCGCCGTAAAGCAAGACCGTCTCTTGCGAGACTTCTGAGCCTGTGGGTGCGGGTCGGTGCTCCTGCAATTGCAAGTGTGGTATTTCCCCCACAGACCACCAGGGCGGCCGAGAATACCTTAGTTCAACCTGAAATGACTCATTTAATCATCCAAAACGATATGGAACACATTCATTAACTGAAAAATGTTGCATAGTGTGCCTTTAATAGAGTGACTATAGGACCAGTTTGATTTCATACAATATATATAACTAGGGGGTCCCCGTCCAATCTCATCATCAGCTTGGGGGTCCTTGGCCTGAAAAATATTGAAGACCCCTGATCTATGTATATGCCTAAAATTGAAAAAAATGCATTAAAAGTTCAGTGTATGCCAGCGTTTTAGGGGATTCTGGGGCATCAGGAATATGCTGACTAAATCGGCAAGGTGTGAAAGCCCTCAGGAAGTACAATCTGCTCTGTCCTTTCTTGCAGACAGCTTCACAGGACTCCGCTCCAGTTTGATGTCCATGTGAACACCAAGGTATTTATACTCCTCTTTCGCCTCCACTTCTTCTTCCATGATGTGAACAGGATTCGGCTTGTTCCTGATTCTTCTAAAATCTTCAAATATGCCCTTGTTTTGATCGCATTCAGGATCAGATTGTTTCCAATCATTTATATGCTGTATTTATAATGACACAAAGTTTATTTGCTGTTTTTTCTTTTGTAAATGGCTGTTTAATTTAGTCTGTAGAGATAGAACGTTATTGACTCGATCTAATTAGGGCTCTTTATGCTAAATCTCTTCTGAAAATCTCTCCTTCCTCTTATTTTCCCGTCTCGTC